ATCCTTGCAGGCATATAAATGCTGAGAGATCTTGATGACTTTCTGAATGAAGCTTTCCAGGCCAACCGTGTGATCATAAATCACCATATGTAATCGAATGTCTGTGTTGAGCCCTTGACGAAACACGGTTAGTAAGGCCACCTCATTCCAGCCACTAGTCACCGCTAGGGTGCCAAATTTCACAGCATACTCACTCACAGATGCCTTGCCCTGGTTGATGTGGAAGAGCTTATCATGGAAGGAGATCTCCGTGGCGGAGTGACCGAACACCTCTTTGAAATGTGATGTAAAGGCTGCTAGAGTGTGAATAGCGGGGCTGTTGGAATTCCACATGGATTGTGCCCACTGAAGAGCGCGTCCTACTAGATGGGAGATCATAAACGCGATCTTGGAGCGATCGTTGGTGAAGGCCTGAGGCTGCATCTCGAAGTAGAGTGATTGGGTCTGATGAGGCTGGAGTATCCCTGACAATAACACATTTGAAGAATTTTATTTAAAAAATGTATTAACAGTAATGAACCATTATAAATCTAGTTTTGATCTGTAGTAGGCTATTTTATCCAAATTTGCATTTTCGCCAAAATGTATTCTGCTGTAAGATTAAAAATGTATTTTCTTGCCCTTGAAATGCATTTTGAAATGTATTCTGGTATATGAAGGTTGAAACTAAATATTTTTTCCATTTAAAAAAAAATAATAATTTAACTTCATTGTTTACAACATATATTTAAAATATATTTTGCCCAGAGAAATATATATATAGTATAATCTTCATTAAGCAGATATTGCTTTGAGTAATAAGCTCAAAATACTGATTACATCTGGTCCTCCATGTAAAGATCCTGGATTATGAAATCTCAATCTAAGTATACATATGCATACAGTTTACATATTACAAGTAAAACATGTTAGTATATTTGAATTTTTTGTTAGCTGTTGACTGCTGTTGTTGCATGGCTCTATATGAATGGATTGTGTGCGGTTGTGGAAGATGTTTACAGATGCAGTGCTCAGAGAACTCTGAGGACTGATGTTGACTGTGTTTGCAGTGGTGCTGCTTCTGCTGCTCTTCTGTCTTTGTGGAGGTGCAGCAGTTGCGGGAGATTTCAAGACCATGCCGTTTGATGCTAGAGAGCATCTTATCGCATATAACACTGAAGGACAGGGGGAGGACAATGTATGTGACACTACAGTACAAGGCAGAATTTTAACAGAGACTGATTTTTGAAGTTCAGAATCAGATATTATATGACGTCACATCTTCCAGAGGCCTTTTCTTTCTTCTTTCAGAATTGCCTATTGTGTTCTTAGAGTGTTCTTGAAGAGCAACAGTCTAGAAGCTAATGTTTAGAGGCTAAAGTGCCTAAACCTTTGAATTTTTAATAGCTGGTCATTATGAAATTTGGTGGATACCTAGAATGTGTACATTAGTCTGTGTACCAAATTTTGTGATAATCGGACACGTTAGCACTATAAAAAGCTAATTTAAAGTTCTTTTGAATTGTACAGGGAAGAATAGAAATTAATTTTTCCTCTGAATAATTCAGTTCCCTCAAATCAAATGGTAATTTCCATTTATGCAAAAACATGATTGCCATCCTTTTTCTGATCTACGTGTATTTTGGTGTGCATCATCTAGAAATGCCTATGACAAGACATTTCTAAGGAATTTGGATGCATTTAACTCTTTAGCAGATTTTTTGTTTGTTTGTTTTTGGATGTGGCCCATAATGACTAATTAGCCTGTATCCTGTCAGTACAACATCAAAACAACACAAGCATTCTGAAGACACATGCAAAATATCAAACATTTCCAATGTTACTGAACATTTCTAAACTTTTTAACTGTTAGTTTTTATTTAACAGACAGAATCAGCAGTAGTGCTGGGCGGTATGACCAAAAATTTATATCACGGTATTTTTCAAAATTATACCGGTTTCACGGTACAAGACGGTATTTTTTTTCATGCATGACCGGGTGTTAACCATATTTTCTACTGATTGAGAGAGTAAACACTGCAGTATATTGACTTAGAATGCCTGAGGACTGATGTTGACTGTGTTTGCAGTGGTGCCGCTTCTGCTGCTCTTCTGTCTTTGTGGAGGTGCAGGAGTTGCGGGAGATTTCAAGACCATGCCGTTTGATGCTAGAGAGCATCTTATCGCATATAACACTGAAGGACAGGGGGAGGACAATGTATGTGACACTACAGTACAAGGCAGAATTTTAACAGAGACTGATTTTTGAAGTTCAGAATCAGATATTATATGACGTCACATCTTCCAGAGGCCTTTTCTTTCTTCTTTCAGAATTGCCTATTGTGTTCTTAGAGTGTTCTTGAAGAGCAACAGTCTAGAAGCTAATGTTTAGAGGCTAAAGTGCCTAAACCTTTGAATTTTTAATAGCTGGTCATTATGAAATTTGGTGGATACCTAGAATGTGTACATTAGTCTGTGTACCAAATTTTGTGATAATCGGACACGTTAGCACTATAAAAAGCTAATTTAAAGTTCTTTTGAATTGTACAGGGAAGAATAGAAATTAATTTTTCCTCTGAATAATTCAGTTCCCTCAAATCAAATGGTAATTTCCATTTATGCAAAAACATGATTGCCATCCTTTTTCTGATCTACGTGTATTTTGGTGTGCATCATCTAGAAATGCCTATGACAAGACATTTCTAAGGAATTTGGATGCATTTAACTCTTTAGCAGATTTTTTGTTTGTTTGTTTTTGGATGTGGCCCATAATGACTAATTAGCCTGTATCCTGTCAGTACAACATCAAAACAACACAAGCATTCTGAAGACACATGCAAAATATCAAACATTTCCAATGTTACTGAACATTTCTAAACTTTTTAACTGTTAGTTTTTATTTAACAGACAGAATCAGCAGTAGTGCTGGGCGGTATGACCAAAAATTTATATCACGGTATTTTTCAAAATTATACCGGTTTCACGGTACAAGACGGTATTTTTTTTCATGCATGACCGGGTGTTAACCATATTTTCTACTGATTGAGAGAGTAAACACTGCAGTATATTGACTTAGAATGCCCTATTTTACTATCATGATGAGTGAATATTGTAAAAAAATACCACACTAAATAGTGACTAAACATGACCCCTTTTAATACGTTAACCAGGAGTCACTCTCATTTATAATCGCGGCATCATCTGATTAAATCAACATGCATCTACACTAAAGAGCAGCTATGCGGTTGTTTTGGCTATATTACTTTTTTGTCTCATGCAGCGCACTGCCTGCGTCTGAGTAACAAACTAAAAAAAACAACAAACAAAAAAGTGCATGTGATATTAACAGACAAACTACACTCATATTTATAATTCCAAACAATCAGTAAGCGACAGGTGCTAGGAAACGCTGTTTTGTACTCATTTATTGACGAGTCGGCTGCGGTGCACTGCTTCTCTGCCGCTCACTGCACAGAACAGACGCCGAGAGAGG